ATTATTCCTGTTTTCCCTTTTTTAACTTGTTTTACTCCTGGATTACTGTTTTGTTTCTGAAACAATTAACTTAGCTCTTTACAATATGAAACATTATACATACTGGCAACACCGAAGAAAGGGTGAGCCTTTTTCTGTGTAGAAATAGATGCAGAAACATTCAGTTAATATTCAATTTAAGAATTTATTGAGAAGTACAATAGGCTCCTATTTAGTTTACTGGCCTGCACAAGTATGAGTAATGAAGATTTCGCATAGTCAGAAAAACATAAATCCACCATCATTATAAAGCATTCAGATATATCTTATTGTGTTGGATGCAAGTATGTAAATGTAACTGTAATATAGGTAACCAAGGAAACTGAAAAATCAAACATCTCAAACCCTGCAACTTGCACATATTATAAATCAACAAATCCTAAAGACACAGGAAATCTAATTGCAATCAATGGCGGTCAATTTGTTAAATTAACTCATTTAGGAATAATCTGGAACACAAATCGACAGCCCACATGGATCGGAGTTCCCTTAATTGTGCACACGACTTTCTTAATTGACTTCCAAGCAGTCCCATTCTTTAGATACAGGTGGTAAGACTGGACTGGGACTCCTGAGGACCTTTCCAGACTCCTGGAAACAATGGAAAATGCACAGCTGAGATTTTCTTAAAGAAGCCAAATACTGGGGAGGAGGTTTAGATTTTAGCATTCTTTATGAGGGATGCTGACATGCTTAGCACTTTGTTCTGTGACTGTAGCCAGCCTCTCAAATGTCATGTTCTCGTTGGCTGTTACACATGTCGATAAACTGTTCACAGCTTTCTGTGGCAGCACAAATGGCAGCCCGTGCACCCACAGGTTCATTAAATAATACAAACTTGTTGCTCAAATGCTGGCTCCTTGTCCCTCTTTCGGTACATAATTCACAGCTTCCACCTTTTCCTGGCTCCGTCGGGCAGGTCCCAGGCCTGGACTTGTGGGAAACCGAGTGAGATAAAGACCATGTGATCTCAGCACCTATCTGTCTTCCTGAGAGAGATAGATGGTTTCCTTTCGTGCGGGCTGCAGAGCATCAGGAGACTTGCCGTGATCTCATTTCAGCTAAACCTGTGATAAATCGCGTTTCTTTTCCCCGACAGCCGCCACACTCTGGGTTCCAATTACATATTATTTACACACATGGGCCCATCTGGCGAATTTATTAGGGTCGGTCTACCTACGCTGCTGAATTTATCTCTTGATCTCCTTATTGAGTCCTGTCCTGATAAATTGGATGGATGCACTGCCTGGCTCAGCCGCATCGAGATCAACAGTCAGTTCAGTAAGCATGG